TGGCCTCAAGCAGGGCACTGCCCCCTCGCTGCATTTCGGCAGCTCGATCCTCACCAGGCTCAAGGTTGATTCAGCCTTCTGTCCTTCCGAGGTCGGTAAAACGAGGACCCAGATTGTTTGGGGGGGGGGCAAGAGGCTGACTCCGCAAACCACTTAGAGAGGGCTGTAAAAGCCCTGTGAAGCGGTATATAAGTCTAAGGGCTATTGTTTAGAAGAACAGGAAGCCAACATCTCAGGGCCTGCCCCAAAGAAGAGGGAGTCAAGCTATTCTCCAGAGCACCTGAAGGCAGGACAATGGGTGGAAACTCATCAAGAGGAGAAGCCACCCAGAACTAAGAAGGAATTTCCGGACAGTCAGAACAGTTAATCAGTGGAACAACTTGCCTCCAGAAGTTGCAAATGCTCCAACACTGGAAGTTTTTAAGAAGAGATTGGATCACCATTTGTCTGAAATTGTGTAGGGCAGGGGTCTCAAACACAATTTACCTGGGGGACGCTGGAGGCAGAGTCTGGGTGAGGCTGGGCCGCATAATATTATACTTTATATTATACTTTATGTTTATATTATACACTAATATTATACTTTCATATCACGGTGGGAGCCACAGGATATCGTCCTGCGGGCTGCAATTGGCCTGCGGGCCGCGAGAATGAGACCTCTGGTGTAGGGTTTCCTGCCTAGGCAGGGGGTTGGACTAGAAGACCTCCAAGGTCCCTTCCATCTCGGCTATTCTAATTTTTTGATGGTACAGGGAACGGCAGGGTGTTTAGCTCTTCGGTGGAGGGCATCTGAGGGTGATCTCTACTGCCTGGGCATCTTCAACAGTGCCAAACTGGGTTCGGCTTGGCCTCCCGAGTAGAAAGGACTCAGTGGCTTCCTTGTTTTTTTTTTGGGCCAGATCCGCATCCGGGATCCGAATCAAGGGGGCAGAGACATAACGGAAGAAATTATGTCCGGTGGAGGGAGCAGGAACCCCACGCCTCCTGCTGTCCGGCCCACCTCGACCCCTACGCCGCCCCAGGTAAGCAGCCCCCCCCCTTCCCCCCCCCCTTCTCCAGAGCAATCCACATTGGGGTTTTGGAAGGTCTGTGTAGTAGCTCCTGCTGTGCCTCTGCTGTCCTAAAGAGAGAGAGATTGGGGTCTCCAGTATAGGTAGTTCCTCGACTTACGACCACAGTTGAGCCCAAACTTTCCATTGCCAACGGAGATCGTTGTTCAGAGAATTCTGCTCCATCTGGCAACCTTCCTTGCCACCGTTGTTAAGTGAATCGCTGCAGCCGTTAAGCTAGCGACACGGTCGTTAAGCGAATCTGGTTCCCTCCCCCATTGGACTTTGCTTGTCCAAAGGCCGCCCAAGGGGATCATGTGACACACACCCTTTCCTTAGCTCCCACCCCCCCACCCCCTTGGGATGCTACGACTGTCACAAATCTTGAGGCGGTTGCCAAACCCCTGAATTTTCATTGTGTGACCACGGGGGTGCTGCCACAGTCGTACGTGTGAGAAACGGTCACCAGGCATTTTCCCAGCGACGACGTGACTCCGAGCGGTCGCTAAATGGACTGTTGTACGTCGAGGACTTGCCTGCAGTTCTTTGTCCTTTAGAGCTTTGCAAGGCTGTCTTCTGGGCCCTTGTGGGTGCGGCAATTGCGGGGCTAGAAAAGAATGGATTTGATCTATGTACGCTTCCCACCTGGAAAGCTTCGGGGGTCTCTAAAGGAACAGCAGCCCCGCCCTGTCTCTCCCTGTCTCTGCCTGTTCTGACCCAGGCTCCCTGAGACAGTAACAATCACACGCTGTTCCCCAAAAACCTTTGTTTTTATTTCAACAGCTGTATGTGCATTCACAGCCCGTAATGAGTCCCAAACAGTTTGAGAATAGTCCAACAGAAGTCTGCCACAATCCTTCGGGATAAGGCTGATAAGCACTCACCTTTATCTCCCTTGCAATGCTGCCCACAACTAAATTGCCCATTAGCTGTACGAGGCCAAACAGAGCACAAAGTCAGCACAGAGCTTTAGAGTTTAAATCGACCAGATTGAACAAAGTTGCTTCCTGCAAAGGCTCCTGTCCCTTTGCTCCTCCTTTAGGTCTTATGGGAGGGGCCAGTCATCTCCAAGCCTTATTCCTGAGTCGCCCCTTTTGTCTTAATGGTTCTTGCCTTCTGGCAGCTCTGCGCAAGCGCGCACTGGGAACAGGCTCCCCTTGTTCTTCTGCCTTGCCGCTGCCAGATTCTGGAGGCTTTGGAGTCAGCACATAACTCAAGATGGCTCTGGCTCCATCTCTGTGTCAGACTCAGATCCCACAACTGAGCCCTCCCCAGACTCCCAAGACTGGCCCACGTTCCTCCCCACTGTCTGACTCTGCTGCCAGCTCAGCAGGTCGACAGCGGACCACAACACAGCCCACAACTGAACAACCCCGGACAGCCACAATGTTCAGCTGCAGGGATCTTGCAGCAATGGGGCTGTCCGTGGCCACAGCATCCGTGGCAGACAGCTCCCTCTCTCCCCCTTTCCTACTGCATTCAGTGGGTCAGTCCAGACCTCTGGTAGACCCTTCCCCATCTTTCGATGAAGGGCCGGGAAATTCCACGGGCTTCTCAGGGGAGGTCAGCCCCCTGGGGATGCCCTTCTCTGAACCCAAAGAGAAGGAGCGCTGTGGGGTGGGATGGAGGCTTATCTAGCTTGCCTGGGTTTTTACATCATTCTACCCTTGTTCTTTCTGACCAGGCCTTTTTAGAGAATTGGCCCATCAGTTGAACTCTGGGAGGTTAGAAGGATAAGGGCAGGGTTGGGTCCCCGTTTCCCCTGACCTAGGATCCCAGTGTCAGGATTCCGGCAGTTGCCCCTCCATTAAATCATGAGCCTTGAGCCACCCTTCGAAAACCTATAATGAATTTATCAGGAGGGAACCTGTCGGCAGGACCTGGTTGAAGCCGATTCTGAGACACGTAACTCACTGTCACCGTTGACCCTGGTTTCCATCACCAACCCCCCTTTGGGTGCGTCACAGTTCGTATTCTCCAACGAAACACGCCCATAGCCAAGAGTCATCAATCATATTCTCCAACTAGTTACAATCTCTGCAAGTGATGAGCGGAGCGCACCGCTGCGCTGCTCTTTCAAACTGTTTTCCCACCCACCCCTTTCTGTTGACAGCTACAAAACGGGCATAGGAATGTTTTACGAGTTGACACCCAGGCCCATGGCCCAGGGCGGGGGGTTCGAGACGCGCAGAGAGCTCTGCCCTGCTGTCGTCTTCAGTGCCGCCGCCGATAGTAATGTTCTTTCTCTTCCCACCTTTTTCCTCCTGCTTTCCTCCCTCCCCATGTGCTTTTCTTTCCCATGTATATTACGGTTTGGTTTTCTTCCTTTTTTGAAATTTATTTGTTTTCTTCTTCTTCTTCTTTTTTGCCTCACCCGGCCCTTTTTCTCCCGCCCGCCCGCCTGCCTGCCTGCTTGCGTTCCCACGTTGCCAGTTTTTATGTTCGCACGCTCATTACCATCCTTTTTTGTACCTCAAATCTCAGCAGCAGCTGCCCAGCCAGGTCCCCGAGCACAGCCCGGTGGCTTGCGGGACTGTGGAGACCTCTCCCCTCCCTGCCGGCAGCCCCACCGCAACGACGGGCGGCCACAAGCAAGGTGGGTGGACGGACGGCTCGTCCTGGTCGGAGAGAGATTGGCGGGTCTCGGCCCGCTCTCCACTCCGCACCCCCTTTCGGGGGGCAGAGGAAAGGCTGAGCCCCCCCCCCCCCCCCCCCAAAATTCTGCTTACTAGAGGACAGGCTGACTCGAGCCCCGTTTTCAAAGACTCAAAAGGACGCAGGGAAGCCGAAATCCAATGGGTGGGACAGGCCGCTGCCCCATCCCCAAAGATGGCCTCTTTTCGGGACCCAAACTTGTAAGAGAAGCTGAAAACACCTCCACCCACCATGCCACCCCCTCTCCCCCTCCCCACCCCCCCCCCCCCGCCCCAGTCCTGCTAAGCCGCTCCCAGGCCTGTTCTGCACTCAGGGACTGGCAGCCTGGCGCCCTCTGGTGAGGAAAAGGGGAGCTGCCAGTCCTTCCTTGGATGAGGGGAAGGGTCCCAGCCTTGCCTTGGCCATCTGGGGGCGGGGGGAACATGGAGAGGGGTGGGATTTTTTGCGTAGAGCCATCTAGGACTCGGTCCTCTTGGACTCGTGGTTTGAATTTTATGTTGGTTTCCGTCTGTACTCACCGCGCAGGGCTCCTCTTCTCCTGGGAGAGGAAGGGTATTATTTATTTATTGTATATTTTACAATGGCGGGAAGCAAATCAAACCACACAGACGCTGCTTCGTGCTGCTTACAGCCCCACCCCCCAGCCCAAAACCAGGACCGTTGCCTCATCACGTCGTTTGACCACCCTTGTCCCCACCCTTCCTCTCACCCCTCCCCACCGTTGGATCGACCTCCCCTTGCTTAGCGCTTCTCTTCCAGTTTGTCTTTCAAACATGGGGGGCGCCATATCCTGGCTCAGAACGATTTGGCTTGTTGGGTTGACTTTGAAGTCTTAAAGGGAAAGGAGATCTTAGCCAAGTCCTTCCCGCTCGTCCCTGGGGTGACCTTCAACCCCGGCCCACCTGAAGGGATGCCATAGCTCCGGAACAGCCTTGGCCCCCAGAGCAGCAAGCTCCTTGTCCTAGAGAGGCTTGCTTTTGCCCGGGCCAAGTGTCTCTCCAGAAGGCCACCCTCGCCACCTGGCAGCCGAAAGATGGCTGGCTTTTGGGTTGTGGCCTGTCCCTTCAGCAGTGTGGCCTGCAAGTTTGCCTGCCTGTCCCGTCACTCTGAGGTTGAACTGAATCCAGGGAAGTCGAGGGGGGGGCGGTGTTTCTGTGGGTTCCCCCCATCATGGGTTGGGGTACCGAGGAGAGCTGCAGCCAGTGGGGCCTGGGAGAGAGTTGGGGGTGGGTGGGCAGCGTCCGTTCGATCTGATATGGGGGCTGGGCTTTTGTAATTCTGCCTTTCTCCTTTTCCCCAGAAGAGAAGCCTAAAACAGATCCAGTATTAAAATCTCCTTCCCCTGCCCTCAGACCGGAGCCGAGTGGAGAGAGGAAAGAACAAGCGGGGACCCCCCCCTGCCCAGAGACCTCCTTGGAGCCTCCTGGTCCCGCTGGAGCCCCCTCCCTTGCAGTCGTGCCCCCCAGCAGGTCGCCACTCGCACCGAGCTCGCAGGACGGGTGCGAACTGGCTTCCCCGCCACAGGAGGCTCCTCCTCCTCCTCCTCCTCCTCCTCCGCTCGCCAGGGCTGGGCCCTGCCTGGAATTGCCCAGTTGCCCCCTGGCGGAGGAGGCCGACCCAGAGAGATGCCGGGAGGAGCCCTGTAGGATAATCCCCGATGACCTGCACCAGACTCCTAGTGCTAATCTAATTAACGAACTCAATGGAGTTCCCGAAAGGATAACGCTCAGCGAGGACGTCCCGGAACTCAGCGGAGCGAAGGAAGCCGTGGCTCCGGCCCTGGAACCGGCGAGTGAAGAACCGGAGGTGGAATGCGCCCCGCCGGCAGCTTCTGTGGTTCCTCCTAGCTCCCCCTCGCTGCCTCCGAGGCCTCCCCATTCTCCCCTTGCCCTGCCCGTGGCTCCTGCTCCCCACCTTCCCCCGTCTCCTCCCCGCTTGCCTTCCCCTCCTCTCCCGCCGGGTGGTGCTGCTCCGCCCGGCCTCCAGGGGGATTTGGACAGAGAGGGGTCCCCCTTACCGATTCTGAGCGAAGACCCTCCCAATGCGAAAGACGAAGTGGAGTTGGACGGCCGGACGGAAGAAGAAGAAGAGGAGGAGGAGGACTTGGAAGAGGATGACTTCCAGGGCTCGAGTGCCAAGGCAGACCTGGAAGAAGGTGGGTCAGCGTGCGGGTCTCGGCCTTTCCCTCCCGGGCGGCACCTGGGAGCGTGGCTCAGCTGCGCCAGCGTGGCTTTCTCCGGAGCTCGAGTCAGCTCCAGACCCGCTTCTTAATTCTCGACTCTTTAACGAACGCCTCTTTTCTTTCTATGTACGCCGAGAGCATTTGCGCCGAGACAAATTCCTTGTGTGTCCAACCACCCTTGGCCCAATAAAGAATTCTCTTTTTCCGATCTGCTTTGCAGCCCCAACAGCTACAGCTGCACCAAAGATGTGGAAGAAACCAAAAGAACCGAGCCAGGCAGCCGAGGAGGAAGGGCTGGAGGCGGCGGAGCCTGAGGTGAGTGGGGAGCCGCTCGGCGCCCGGTGGAGCAGGATTTCCAAAGTGGGGGGCCCCAAAGACACCATGCTGAATGAGGCCGCTCTGGGGGCTTCCTCTCACCAAGGGATGGTGGATTTTGGGGAGGGGGGAGAGACGAGGGAGGAAGAGCTCAGCTCAGACTGTGTGCGTGTTGGGGGGAGGGGCTTCTCCCCCTGGAAGGTGGGACCTGAGGAGGGAGCCTCCCGGCACCTGCCAGTTGTATGCGACGGGGAGTGAGTTTTCGGCGTCCTCCTTTGCGGGGAGAGGCTGCCCCGCTGCTTGCTGGGCCAGAGAGGGGTGGGGGGGGGGTGTTAACTTGGCCTCTGCTCTGCTCTGCTCTCAGCCCCAGGCAGAAGAGGCCCTCGGAGAGGAGCAGGTCCCTGAAGCTGAGCAAGAGGCCGAGAGTCTGGACAGGGCCTCCTCTCCGCCCGACCTGAAAGTAGCCAACGCGACCGAAGAAAACGGCGAGCGGGAAGGAGAGCCCCTCCGCAACGGGGCCGAGGGGGCTCCCGAGAGTGAAGGAGGAGGCTGCGTGGAGAGTGCGAGCGAAGCCCCCGCCTGCCCGATCAAGCCAGGTAGGCTCCGTCCTCGGCCTGGTCCCCCAAGTTCAGAGGGGGGGGTGGGACTCTCCCCGGGCGGCTCCAGGGAAGAGAGCCCCTTGGGCGGGCGGGCGGGTGGGAGCCAGGAGAGCAGTTGACGGCCTGCGTGTCCCGCAGGACCCGGATCTGGGCTGTGCCTGATAGGCCGGATGGTTGACTTTGCGGGACCAGGCCTGCCATGGTTTCAGAAGGTGAAGAAGAGGAGGGCTGCCTTCCTCTTTTAGAGGCACCTGGCCCCCTCCAGGTGCTCTGGCTGCTATGCCTTGCATTCCAGCTCATTTCTGAACAAATTCAGACTTTGGGTGGGCTGCCCTGTGTGTGTGTGTGTGTGTGTGTGTATGAGAGACCCAGGGGATTCCGAAACAGCCTCTTTGCCCCATCCCCTCCTCTGGGGACTGAACGGTGCGTTCGTGATGGGCCGCTTCCCCGTTGTATCACGGTGACCGTAACCGTCATCAGGGATTGCCGAAAGATAGCTGGTGTCAGCCAGCCCTCTGGTGCTCTCCTAGCCTCTTTGGAAGGGGGACCTCAGGGCAGCCTGGGCGGTCTCGTTGCCCACTTCGGCCCAGACCTTGCAGCTCACCCCACCCACCCAGCTCCAGAGAGAGGTGTGAGAGCAACGTTTCCGCCACTACAGAACAGTGGAAGCCCGTGGACACCGGAGGGAAGAAGCAGTACGATCGGGACTTCCTGCTGGACTTCCAGTTCATGCCCGCCTGCATCCAGAAGCCGGAGGGGCTGCCGCCGATCAGCGATGTCGTCCTCGATAAGGTCAGGAGCCTGTGAGTCAGCTGGGCACCCCCACTCCACCCCCACCCCGGGGGGAAACCAGGAGGGCTGGACCGAAGACCCAGGAGCCTCCGAGCCTCCCGAGAAGGGAAGGGGGTGGCGGGGGGCACTGCCCGCCTCCTGCCCCGCCCGTCACTCTTGCCTTCTTTCTGGCCCCGCAGATCAACCAGCCCAAACTGCCTCTTCGGACGTTGGACTCTCGGATCTTGGCCCGGGGCCCAGACTTCACCCCAGCCTTTGCCGATTTTGGAAGACAAGTCCCCGGAGGACGGGGGCAGCGCGGGAAGTGAGCCCCCCCCCCCCCCGCTGCCTTTAGCCTCGGGTGTCCTTCCGTCGCCCTGCTCTGCTCTGCGCATGGTCAGCCGGTGCATTTGCGGAACACGCGGGCTTTGGGCGTTCGGCTCTGCGCTTTGGTCCTTTTTTGTCCCCTCCCGCTTTCGTTGCCTCCCTTGGCGTGGCTCCCCCAGCGCTCTGCTCCGCTCTTCCCTCTGAAGCTCAGGGCCCATTCCCCACCCTGGGTGCTTCCCCAAGACCGCCAGCTGCCTCTGCTTGGGCCAAAGGCATCCTGGAAAGCGAGTGGAGGGAGGGCAGTGGCCACACAGGGGCCATAGAATCTCCCCTCCCCCTCCAAAAAAACCCCCAACCCCTCTTCCCTGATGCGGCTGCCCCGGGCTGAGCCCTTCCCCTCCTTCCTTCCTTCGTTCCTTCAGGCCTGCAAAGTGCAGCCTCCGCCTGGACTCCCCTCTGGCACTCGATGTGGCACCCCAGCGTGCCCCTTGTTGGTCTCGTCTCACCCGCAGCTGAGGAACCTGCAAATAGGGGTAAGGCTTCTCGCTGCTGCCCCATCCCCCCTCGACCCCCCGGAGCCTTTGGCCTGCCTTGCCCTCCCCTCCTGACCCTGCCAGAGGAGCCCCGACTCCACGCAGGGAGCGTCTTGACGTGGCAACGGCCTTGCGCTGCATCAGGGCTGGGAGTGGGACGTCCCCCGAAAGAGGGCATGCTGGGCTTTGGGCCTCAGCTGGATTCCCCCCCACAGTCCTGGGCAAGGGGGGGAGACCAGGTGAGTCCTCTTGAGCCCAAGGGCCTCTCTAGCTGTCTGGTTGCAGCCCCTGCCTGCTGCTCTGCTCCTCTGCCCTGGCCTGAGATTCTTGGGGGGGCGGGCAAGACGCTTTGCTCTTAGAGAAGACCCGCTCCATCCTTAGGCAGCAGCCAGCAGCCTGGGCCATCGGCACTGCCTTGGAGCAGCGGCGGCCTTTTGCCGCTGGGACAGGAGGAAGTTTGTGGGCAGGCTGGCCCCACGATCTGATTCTCGGCCATAGCCAGCGGCAAGGGGCATCACCGCACGTCCCATTTGCTGAGGTTTCCCTGATGGAGGGAGTCACCCAAAGAAAGAAGAAACGGAAACCAGCAGAGATGATAATAATTAAAGGAAGCTTCACCGGTTCCTCCGGAGAGGCCCTTTCCCAAATCAGCCAGTGGCGGGAGGAGAGACGAGCCGTGACGGAGCCCTCCCTTCCAGTGGGCCAATTTTGCAGGCCTCCCCTCCTCTCCCTTCCCCTCCCCACTCCCACAAAAAAAAATACCCTGGGTGTCTGCAAAGGGAAGATTACACGTTAGCAAGGAGGGATAACGAAGCGTGTAGCCGTGCCCGTGGGAACAAGACGGCTCCCACTCCGTTCTTTGGCCTCCCCAGCCTGGTCAGCATGAACGGACGATATCCTCGGCAGCGTCCTGGGGAAATTCCTTGGGGTCCTTCCAGATCAATCTGGTTATTTGGAGGCCTTTGCATTGGAGCAGGCTGTACGGGTGGCTCCGTTCGGCTGCTGCAGTGCTGGTCACGTGCATTTTGGAGCAACAGCGGGTGGACAAAAACCGAGGGAAGATTTAATCCCCTGCTACCCATGACTGAAGAAGGGTCCTTGGGAGCTCAGTTTTGTGGCTGGGCTTGAAATGCGCGTTGCTCTTTTTTTCCCCATGGCTGCCTATCCCCGCGATGATGATTGCCGCGTTTTAGCTGTGATGTATTTAAAATGCAAATGACACCTTCCTCCCCACCCCCCACCCCAAAGTATACAGCATAATAAAAGCAAAAGCAGGTTCTAGGTTGCTAGAATTGCAAAGTGTCGCTTTCTCTCTCTCTGGATCTTCAAACGCGTTTGGGTCTTTTCAGAAAGAAATGTGTATCGCAAACAGCAAATAGAGTCAGTCAGGGGACAATGGGGCCAGTTAGACGGGCGTTGTGAAGATTATGCCTTAAATTCCCCAGCTGTGGAATTTCTGTGGGCCAGTCTTGGGCTCCTTCTGGGTGCTGGTTTGATCAGGAAGCTGCTGGCGATGCGGTTTCATCTTCGTTTCCGATAACTTTCCGTCCACCTTTGAGGACCGGTGACAGTTTTACAGTTCACAGTTAAGAGCATAAAAAAGAAGTTTTAACTCATTCAGAGGGCAACCCCCGAAGGCCATTTGTGTGTGACTGGAGTGCAGGTTGTGTTCCCCCCTCCCTTGGTGTAAAAGCCAGATGTGATAGCCGGATGGTTCATTTTGGTCTCAGATGCTGAATGTCGGGCAGAGGAGATCTCAGCCGAGCCAGAGGAGGGAGCCCAGGAAGATCATCACGGTTTGCGTCAAGGAGGACGTCCACCTGAAGAAAGCGGAGAACGCCTGGAAGCCAAGCCTGAAGAGAGAGACCCACGTGGAGGACCCCGAGAGCATCAAAACCCAGGTGGGGGGGGGGGGGGATGAGGAGGAGGGGTTGTCCTGCACTTGGCACCCATTGAGGAGAAATCTAGCGCCAGGCTAACCACAGCCTCTTTCGACAGGCCGGTTTGCTTGCAAGGGGAGGGAGGGGACGGGGTCCCGTTGCTGAGGTGGCCCCCTGTTCTCACCCAGCTCCCCAAACAGGACAAAACCCGCTGAACTTAACTCAACGACTCCTTTAATTAGGAGTGCAGGCAGCCCCGGCAAAAGGTTTCGCTCTCACCGCAGGCTAACAAGTCTGTCCGGCAGGAAGAGGAGTAGTTGTCTGCCACACGTATTCATCTCTCCCCCGTACCTTTTATCCCCAGAGTCAGGGTGGGGCTTCGCTAGCAGTGTTGGCTCTTTCGTCCTAAGGACCGGCCCATAGATTTCCACTGCTCTCCTCTCCTCTGCCTTCTGTGCATCCGCAGTCAGGCACTGGACCCGGCTGTTCCTCCTCTTCCTCATCAGCCACCTCCAGAACTGGGGGCTGTGGACTCTCCATCTGAGGGCTGACGGAGGGCCCAGGGTCCGTCTCTGTCTGTGTCTCTCTCTGTCTCTGTGTCTCTCTCTGTCTGTCTGTCTGTCTCTCTCTCTCTCTCTCTCTCTCTCTCTCTCTCTCTCTCTCTCTCTCTCTCTCTCTCCCCCAGCTCCATTCCCTCTCCCCCTCGGAGTTCTCTGGTGCTAACACTGACTCCCTTGCCTCCTCTTCCTCCTCTGATTCGGCTGCTGTAGGGGCCGGTGGCTTACAGGCCACAACACTCCCGTAGCTTTAGACCTGGTTATCGCTTTGCCCCTCCCCCCTCCACCGCTGCTTTTCCTTCCCCCACCCGCCCAGCCCATCAGCAGGATATAGAGGGGTTGAAATGGGTGGGGGGCGTCTCCGGGGGAATCCTTTCCTGGCTGGCCTTTAGGAGCTCTTGTGGAGGCCTCTCCCTCTCCTCCACCCCTCCAGGAGCTCTTCCGCAAAGTCCGCAGCATCCTGAACAAGCTGACCCCGCAGATGTTCAACCAGCTCATGAAGCAGGTGACCGACCTGACGGTGGACACGGAGGAGAGGCTGAAGGGGGTCATCGATCTGGTCTTCGAGAAAGCCATCGACGAGCCCAGCTTCTCCGTAGCCTACGCCAACATGTGCAGGGGCCTGGTCATGGTAAGGCCGGGGGGGGGTCCCTGTCAGAAGGCTGCCAGTCCGAAGGGAAGGGGGGAGGCACGGTGGGCCACATGGTTCGCTTGCTTTTGCTGTAGCTGTAGCTGCTTGGGAGCTTAAAAGGGGGGTATCGGGGCTCTGGCAGTTACCCCCCCATTTAAATCATTAGCCGGATTTTCAGAGCTTAAAAGATTTATTGGCAGTAAACATGCCGGCACTGCCTGGGTGCAGCCGACTCTGAGACACATCATTCATTGTCACCCTTGACCCTGGTTTTCCCCCCACAACCCCCCCGGTTGTATCCTAATTCATATTCTCCGATGAGACACCTGCGTAGCCCAGAGTCCTCAATCGTGCTGTCCAGTTAGAATTTTGCACGGCCGAAAACTTCGGCCACCTAGTTAGAATCTTTGAAAAACATTCATGAAATGCAGTTTCAGTTTGCAAGCTGCCGCACGGCTTCCCCCGCCCCTCCTCCCCCCCTTTCTGTTGACAACTCTAAAAAGACCAGAGAAATATTTGATGAGTTGACCAAGGGAGGAATTCACACCATCTGCAGCAACTCCCCCGGCCCCCCCACTGATCCAGGCCGCCGGTCTGGGTATCTCCAAGGCCACAGTGGCCCAAGGATAACCTTGTTCTCACCATCCAGCCTCGGAGATTTCCAAAACACCTTTGTGGCTTATTATTGGCTGTGGATGGACACGGGGTTATCAGGGTGGGGGGCACTGAAAGGGGAAAGTTAGCCTAACGAAAGCTTTCGGGCCTGAATTTCCGCCTCCCGGCACCTGCCTTCTCTGCAAACGTCTCTCTGTCAGTAAAAGTTCCTTTTGAAATGAGTTTGAAGAGATCTACTTCCTTGGGGGAGTTAGCTGAGGCAGGTCCTTCCGTGGCGAGTGCCGATGCCCAGCTCCAGGAAGGCCTCACTTCGTTTTAACACCCCCCGATCTGCCTCTTTTCCCTCCCGCAGCTGAAGGTGCCCATGGCGGACAAGCCCGGCAGCACCGTCAACTTCCGCAAGTTGTTGCTGAACCGCTGCCAGAAAGAATTCGAAAAGGACAAGGCCGACGACGACGTCTTCGAGAAGAAGCAGAAAGAGCTGGAGGCCGCCACCACCGTGAGTGGGAGCCACGACCTCCCGTCCCTCCCGCCTGCGGAGGAGCTGGCGGTGGCTTCAGTGGCCCTTGCCTGGAAGGGATGGGCACCCTCCTGGGAAAGGGAAGCTTAGCTTAGTTTAGTTTATTGCCGTCGCACCTCGTACCACGCAATTAAATGCCCTCTTCGGTGTGCGTTATAACTATAAAAAAAGTAAAACACAAACACACATCCTTTGCATTCTGTACCAGTGCTCGGCAACCGGTGGGCAAGGGGCCACTGGGGGTCTGTGAGAAAATTGTGATGATCTGCAGAGAAATGTCCCCCCCCCCCAAAGCAATTAATCCAGGCTGCGCCGGAACACAAGACTGTGCTGCCCACATGGCCTGACCACCCGCTGGCCCCCACCCTTTGGCCGAGCGCAAACCTTACCTCGAGTAGAGCCACACGAGCTGGAACTGGAAGTTAAGACCAATGGCGGGGGAGGGAAATCCGCCCCAGGGTGGTTTGCTGACGTCGGGTGGGAAAGTCGGTCCCATATTCCAGAGCTAAGTAGTCACAGGACTGGCCCTTTGGTCATCCCGGAGCAGCTGCTCCTCCACTTGGGTGCACCGGCCTGCCATGGACTGGAGGAGCTGCTCCGGGGTGACCAAAGGGCCAGTCCTGTGACTCCTGCAGCTCTGGAATATGGGACCGACTTTCTCACCAACGTCAGCAAGCCGCTGACAATCAAAATTCAAATTAGTGGTCCACAGGATTTAAAATTAGGAGTTTGGTGACTCCTGTTCTATGCAATTGCATTGAACCCCCCCCCCCCCCGATATTGCATTAATATTGCAGCAGAATTCAGAGGAGCTCCTTCCCTGGGATAGAAGCTGTTTTTCAGCCTTATTTGTCCTTGTTTTTATTCTCCTGAACCGTCTGCCAGATGGCGATAGTTCCAAAGAGTTGGGAACGGAGGAGAGAATGGAAGGGAGAAGAAAGGCTTTTGGTGGTTGCTTTCCTCAGGCCTCTTTCCTTGTGCCTCTCCCCCCCATCCCCTCCCAGCCAGAGGAGAGGACTCGGCTTCACGACGAACTGGAGGAGGCGAAGGACAAGGCCCGAAGGCGGTCCATCGGCAACATCAAGTTCATCGGAGAGCTTTTCAAGCTGAAGATGTTGACGGAAGCCATCATGCACGACTGCGTGGTGAAGCTGCTGAAGAACCACGACGAGGAGTCCCTGGAGTGCCTGTGTCGCCTGCTGACCACTATCGGCAAAGACCTGGACTTCGAGAAGGCCAAGGTAGAGGGGCGGCTGGGGGGAGGCAAGCCTCGGGGTTGCCGGAGGTCCGAACCCCCGGGAACGTGGGGGCGGGGAGGAGAGGAGAGGAGGCTGGCATCAGACGCGGTGATGACCCCCGTCCGTCCTCCCCAGCCTCGAATGGACCAGTACTTCAATCAGATGGAGAAAATCGTGAAGGAAAGGAAAACCTCCTCCCGAATTCGGTTCATGCTGCAGGATGTCATTGACCTTCGGCAGGTATGTGTCTGCTGAGGTAAGAGGTCGCAGACGGCTCTGGATTCTTCCCTCTCGGCCCTTCCTCCTCCTCCTCCTCCTTCGGGGACATGGGGGGGCGGTGCGGCTCAGTGGTGGGATTCAGGTTTTTTTTTTTTTTTTTTACTACCGGTTCTGTGGGCGTGGGAGGGGAAGGATATACTGCAAAATCCCCCTCCCCACCCCACTAACCTGCTTTCCAGCTCCGTTCTCCTGGGCAGGGCAACCCAAGGAGACCCAGCCGATCGGCTGGGACTCGACGGGAGGCAGGGAAGAGATATGGGGTTGGCGGGGGGCCAGTCAGAGGTGGGATTGGCCGGTTCTCTGAACGACTCAAAATTTCCGCTAACCGGTTCTCCAGAACCGGTCAGAACCGGCCGAAGACCACCCATGGTCTGGCTGTCCCCAGGGTTGACCTCTCCAGGGTGTGCTCCCGCCTCCCGTGCCTTTGCCGGAGAGAGAAGAGCCGCCTCTCAGTTTGCCGCCGCTTCTTGCCTTCCTCCCCCTCCTCCTCTTCCTCTAGTGCAACTGGGTGTCGCGGAGGGCAGATCAAGGCCCAAAGACCATCGAGCAGATCCACAAAGAAGCTAAAATAGAGGAGCAGGAAGAGCAGCGGAAAGTCCAACAGCTGATGACCAAAGAGAAGAGGCGGCCCGGTAAGGAGATCCGGTTTGGGGAGGGGAGCCCCCGCCCCCTGCCTGTCCTGAAGCCCCCGCCTAGGGCCCACCCAGAAGGGCGCTTCCCCAGCGGGGCCAGCACAAAAGCAGCCCCTGGATCTGCTTCAGAGCCCCCCAGAAGCCCCCCCTGGGCAGAGAGCAGACTTCAGAGCCGAGCTAAAGCTGCCTGACCCCCACCCCCACCCCACCCAACAGACAGGGTGAACTTTGACACAGGACTCTTTTCGACTCGTGCAGGTGTCCAGAGGGTGGAAGAAGGAGGCTGGAACACCGTGCAGGGGGCAAAAAATAGCCGTGTGTTGGACCCCACCAAGTTCCTTAAAATCACCAAGGTAGGCATGCGGGCCGGGGAGCCTTTCTGGGACTTGTAGCGGAATCGGGGGGGTTGTCAGAAAGCTGACCTAGGCGTGGGGGCACCGGCAAATCATTGCCGCATTGTGGCAAGGACACCTTTGGGATGGGGGTGGGGTGGGGAGGAGAGCTGAGTTCGAATGCGACGCAGTCCCATCTTAAACCGTCCTTCTAGTCCAAGGAAGGTCCTGCGAGAGCCCTTGCCTCTTCCTCTCTCACCTGCCCTCCTTCTGGGTCGAGAAAAGGGAAATGGTTGGCATGCAACGCTGGGCTGGGCTGCCTGGCAGACCGGCCTGTCCTCTGGGCGCGTGCTAATCTGCGCCCCCTTTTATATAGCCCAGTATAGACGAGAAGATCCAGCTTGTGCCTAAAGCCCAGCTGGGCAGCTGGGGAAAGGGCAGCAGCGGCGGAGCCAAGGCCAGCGAGATCGGTAAGGGCAGCGGCGCCCTGTGGCGTGCGCACGTAGCTGGTCGTGTCCCTCTGGGCAGCAGATCCCGGGCACTAGGAAGCCGGAATCTACCACAGGGCTGGGTCGAGGGGCCTTTGGTCTTGGTTCCTGAGGGCAGGCCCTCTTCTCTCCGCCTCCTGCGCAGATTGTTTACGACCAAGTGCCACTAGCCTGAACCGCTTCTCTGCCCTGCAAGCCCCCGCCTCGACCATCTCTGGCACCACCCTGGAGCTGGATCCTCGCAGGGCCGCCTTGACCAGGTAAATCCCCCCGCTTGTGGACGCGGCAGGCAGGATGATGGTGGAGCCGAGAAGCTGCTGGGGTGTTGGGGGGTTCCTCTCTTTTTGGTCAAGCCCGGGCGCCGACCTCGGAGATGGAAGGGCCACGCCTCCTCTCTCGAGTCCCGCGTTCGCTCACTCCTCTGCCTCGCTCGCTTCCAGCCGGGGGAGCACCGGCCGGGAGAAGAACGACAACAAGCTGCCGCCCTCCGCGGCTTCCCGTCCCAACGCCTTCCTGAGGCTGAGTAGCAGCGGCAAAGAGCAGCTCTTGGACAACCAGGCCCAGGAGGAGCAGCGGAGGGAGATGCTGGAAACTGTGAAGCAGCTGACGGGCGGCCTGGAAAGCGACCGGAACAGTACGGAGGTGGAGAAGAGCAAAGCCCGGGAGGCAGGTGAGGTTTCCCGTCATTCTGCCTGCAAGGGGGGCCAGGCTGTGCCTGGGGGTTGCCTGTCCTGGGTTGGGAGGCGGAGGGGGGGGAGAGTTCGCTGAGCAAGGGCCTGATGTTTTGCGGGGGTTCTTCCGAATTAAGGCACCTTCCTTCGGTTTAAGGAGAAAAGCAAGCGGCCGCCTTGAAAAGAACAGTCGCTGTTGTTGTTTTGTTTTTTTCTTCGTTAAAACGGATGAGGTGCTTCCGTGCTCATCCCAGTGCAGAAAGTTAACCTCTCTCACTGGGTCTCTTCTCTCCTCCCTCCTGGCCCCCCCCCCCCCCATCTTCAGTCAAGTCTGAAGCCCCCGTTCCTCACCCCCAAGAAAAGCCGGCCCTGTCAGACGAGGAAATGGAGAGGAAGTGCAAATCGATCATCGATGAGTTCCTGCACATTAATGATTACAAGGTAAAAACGCAGTGGGGCTTGTGGGGTGTTTTGGATTTCTGTGATGGGTGGCCTATGGCCGGCCAACTCTCAGTCAGCCAGCCAAGCCTTAAAACCAGTCCAGGAAACAGGGAATAAAAAAGGAAGCACGCCCCCAGCCAGAGCCGAGGCCAGATCACCATCTTCTGGCTCATACGCCCCTGGCTAGGAAGGTCCCAGGTCCTCAAGGCCTGGCACGAGGCCAGTGGGGATGTCGGATAGAGGGGGGGCTTGAGTTCCGCCTGTGAAGGGGTGCCGGCCCCTCTTCCGTGCCGCTTCCTGGAGGGACCGGTATCCAGGCTGCAGGGAAGGCCCCCTTCACCCTCCCTCGGCCCAACTCCTTCCTGGTGTCTCTGCAGGAAGCCGTGCAGTGCGTGGAGGAGCTGAACGTGCCTGGCATCCTGCCGGTGTTCGTGCAGGTTGGTGTGGAGTCCACCCTGGAGAGGAGTCAGATCACCAGAGACCACATGGGCCAGCTGCTCTATCAGCTGGTGCAGTCAGAGAGGCTCAGCAAGCAGGACTTCTTCAAGGGGTGGGTATAGTGCGCCAGAGAGCTCGTGCTTGTTTGCAGATACCAGCCGGAAGGTGGCCTCGGCCTCAGGCCGAGGGCAGAAGCCACCCATCCAGCCCTCAGGCGTCTTAAGGGCTTTTTGCCTTTGTGGCTCAGGTTTTCGGATACTTTGGAGACCGCTGACGACATGGCTATCGATATCCCCCACATCTGGTTATACCTAGCTGAATTGGTGACGCCAATGTTGAAAGAAGGAGGCATCTCTATGAGAGAACTTGTGATGTAAGCCGGGCTGCCTCGCCTTCCCCGATCCCTGAAGCTGGAACTCAGCGGGCTGGGCAGCAGAGCAGTGGCCCCGGCGGGGTTGGTCTCTGCCGGGCCGGCTCTGGGTTGCCAGCACGCCAAGGCTGCTGAAGGGAGGGATACAGTTAGAAGTGAAGTTCAGTGGCGGCTGCCTTCCTTCGCAGTAGTAGGGCTTAGCCACAGTGGGGCAGCTTTTCCGAGAGGATAAAAGAGACACGTTCTTTTCTGTTTCAGAGAATTTAGTAAACCTTTACTTCCTGTGAGAAGAGCCGGGGTTTTGCTTTCCAATATATTGCACCTTCTATGCAAACAAATGGTAAGGATGTTGGACTGTTAGTGGGCCTGTGCAAACCCCCCCACAGGTCTCTGGTCTCACGGGAAAAGCCAAAGGGCCCCCACTGTCAAGATTCCGGCAGTTCCCCCCTATTTAAATCGTGAGTCTTGAGCCCAACTTCCAAAACTTAAAAAGGATTTATTGGGAGTTAACATGCCGGCACTGCCTGGGTGTAGCCGACTCTGAGACACATCGTTCATTGTCACCCTTGACCCTGGTTTTCCCTCCATCCCCTGGGTGTATCCTAATTCATATTCTCCAATGGGACACATCCCTAGCCAAGAGTCATCAATCAGGTCTCCAGTTAGAATTTTGTGAGGCAGAAACTTCGGTCACCTAGTTACTATCTTTGGAAAAGTCCATGGAATGCAGTTTCGGTTTTGCAAGCTGCTACATTGCTCCCTCCTTCCTTTCTGTTGGCAACTCTAAAAAGACCAGAAAAATATTTAATGAGTTGACACCCAAGTCCAAAGCCTCTTGGGCTGACGGAGAAGAGGAGGGATTCATCAATGCCTGGGGCTCCTCGCGGGTGTCCCAGAAGGAGGGAGGCTTGAGGGGCAGCCTGGGGCTCCCGGGAGGTGGGTGCGGTGCCTCGGCTGCCACCGGCTGGGGCGCTCCTGCCAGAGTAGCCACAGGCAGGGCAGAATGAGTAGCAGTCCTGGCCCCATGCACGGCCTTGTGTTGCAGAGCCATAAGAAAGTGGCAGCCTTATGGAGGGAGGCTGGCCTCCGCTGGAAGGACCTCCTACCTGAAGAGGACGATGTCCACACCTTTCTCCTGGAGCAGGTGAGAGGCTTGGTTGGGACTCCTGTTAAGGATTAAGGCAGGGGCGTTTGAATGGAAAAGTGAGCGGGCTGCCAAATATGGCCAGGTTTGGGAGGGCCGCTGGTCCGAAAGAGCCCCTTGTTACGCTCTGCCTCCAGGATGGGTTGGCCCCACCTTTCGGTTTGGGCCTGACTCGCCCTCGCTTTTGGAGTCTTAGTGGACAACCAGCTAAAGAGGAGCCAGCCGTGTGCAGCAGCAGCCAAAAAAGCCAACGCCATCTTAAGTTGCATTAACAGAGGGATACAATCGAGATCAAGGGAGGTGCTAATACCACTCTATGAAGCCTTAGTAAGGCCACACCTAGAGTCCTGCACCCAGTTTTGGTCACCACACTATAAAAAAAAAGATGTTGAGGCTTTAGAAAGAGTGCAGAGAAGAACAAGCAGGATGATTAGGGGACCGGAGGCTAAAATATATAAGGAGGTTGCAGGAACTGGGCCTGGCTAGTCTAGTGAAGAGAAGGACCAGGGGAGACAGGATAGCAGCCTTCCAATATTTGAGGGGCTGCCCCAGAGAGGAGGAAGGGGGTCAAGCTATCCTCCAAGGCACCCGAGGGCCAGACAAGGAATAATGGATGGAAACTGATCAAGGAAATAAGGAGGAATTTTCTGACAGTGAGAACAATCCACCCATGGAACAGAAGTTGCCTTCAGAAGTTGTGGGAGCTTCATCACTTGAGACTTTCAAGAAGAGACTGGACTGCCATTTGTCAGAAATGGTGTAGGGCCTCCTGCTTGGGAAGGGGGTTGGACTAGATGACCTACAAGGCCCCTTCCAGCTCTGATCATGTGTTGTTTTTGAATGTTGCAGAAGTTGGACTTCACAGAAACTGACAGTCCCAGTTCCTCAGAAGCACTTTCCCCGAGAGAACTCTCTGCCGAAGAGCTAAACAGGCAGCTGGAGAAACTCATTGTTGAGGAAGAAGCCGGTGACGAGCAGATCTTTGACTGGGTAGAGGTATAAGACTTGCCCTGCACACCCAGCGGGAACCCTTGACAGGATAAGGCCCCTCTGCCCTGCCTCCGTTGCCTCCCCTCCCTGCTCCCAGGGGTAGCTCTCCTTACCCCGGGCGGCATTTTGGCTCATGCAGGCAGCCCAGCAAAACCTGAGCTGTAGGGCTAGCTAGAAAGTCAAAATGGCTGAGGAGTACGGGCCCAGCCAACTGTAGCGTGTCCCCAGGAAAAGAAAAGGGGAAAGGCCCCTTTAAATGCTTTGCATTGACAGGCTGAACTCCGGCCACATAAAGAGACCGAAAGGCAGCGGGGAGTGTCGGTTCTCTTCCGTCGCTAGAGCTAATTGGGTAGAAAGCGGAGGGTTTTTCCGGAAACGAAGCCAACTCTTTTTAACTCGGGCAAACGCTCTCAATTTCAGGCTAATCTCGACGAAAGCCAGATGAGTTCACCTACATTCCTTAGAGCTTTAATGACGGCCGTTTGTAAAGCAGCTGTTTTAGGTGAGTAATGGCCACAACAGAATTCGAAGGTATGCCGTGTTTGGGCACTCACATGCCTGTTTTTTTAAGGGATTCGAACCGTTGGCGCCTGTTCCCTATTAAGCCCAAATGGGTTTCCTGGGTTTGAATTGCTCCCACAAAAGACAGTATTGTGGCCCAGGTAAGACTGGCTGCGATTCTCGATTAGTGTCAATTTAGTTGTGTTTTTTTTTTTCTTTCTTTCTTTCTTTCTTTCTTTCTTTAACACTAGGACTTGTTTTCTCTTGTTCCGCTAAAATAGCAAAGGGAGTCTTTTCTGTAGATTAACGTTGGACCTGGTCCGCCGAGGTTACGGAAACTTTAGATTGGCCAGTGAGAGAGAAGGCGCAGCCGGGGGTTCTGTCCGGTGGCTGCTTCCATTTAGAGAAGGAGAGGACAGAGCAAGCGGTCGCTCCCTCGGCCAGGGCTCCGGGGCAGTTTGGATTCCCAGCCAGCTTTGGGGCAGGGGAGTTGGAGCGGAGGGAAACCGGGCAGGTGTCTGCGACCACCCATTTCCCCAAGGATATATTTCTAGCTCAACCGATGGGCAAGGTTTCAAAAGCTTTCTTGAAGTTGTGAGGAAAAGGGTGTGTGGGTGTGTGTGTGTGTGTGTGAGAGAGACTACTTCTTTCCTCCCATCCAGTGGATATCTCTAGCTTGCGAGTGGATACGGCCGTTATCAAGCGGAGAGTGCCCATCTTACTCAAGTACCTAGACTCGGACACAGAGAAGGAACTACAAGCACTTTATGCACTGCAGGCATCAATAGTAAAACTTGACCAACCTCCTAGTAAGTATCCGGCATGTGCTCGTAATGGCTCGATTGGGATTGATGTAAAGCGGTGCATAAGGTACCCTCAGGGCTCTGTCGACAGCTGTAAACCCGGAACAGCACGGCCAGGAGTGGGGAACAGAGCCTCCTTGGCTGACGTAGCGTGGCTTTTGTCCCAGGAAGAGGTGGCGGGGAAAGGCCTTCGGCTTTCACCAGGCATCTGGCGCCGCCTGAAAGGCAAACTTTGTACGATCTTTTCCCCTGTTTTGAGACCCTTCATCTGTTCTGACCCAGCTCCCCAAACACGACAAACCCTCTGACATGAAATCCAAAGATTCCTTTATTAGGAATGTCGTCGAAAAGTTCTGTAACAGGCTAACAAGTCCGTCCGGCTGGAAGATGAATAGTTGTCTGCCACCCTTACTCATTTCCACCCCCTGACCTTTATCCCCAGAGCTAGGGTGGGGCTTCATGAGTGGCGGTAAGCTATTCCTTCCCAAGGACCGGCCCATAGATTTCCACTGCTCTCCTCTCCTCTGCCTTCTGCGCATCCGCAGTCAGGCACTGGACCCAACTGTTCCTCCTCTTCCTCATCAGCCACCTCCAGACCTGGGAGCTGTGGACTCTCTATCTGATGGGTGACCGACAGCCCAGGCTCTGCACCTGTCCCTCTCTCTGCCGGCTTCATTCCCTCTTCCCCCTCGGAGCTCTCAGGTTGCCCTGAGGCTGACTCTGACTCCCACGCCTCCTCTGATCCGGCTGCTGGAGGGGCCCGGTGGCCGACAACATTACCGTTCTTGCTCGAAGTCTGTTTCCTGGCTGGAAAGTCTGTTTGCCTGAGCTGCCCTTCCCACTCGAACCGGGATAATAAGCGGAAGCTTCCCGGTCCCTGGGTTGAAGTACGAGGTGGAGCGTTCCGCTCTCCGCTCAGCCCTTCACAAAACACGTCTCTCTCTCTCTCTCTCTCTCTCTCCTACTCTCTGCAGATTTGTTACGGATGTTTTTTGATTGCCTGTACGATGAGGAGGTGATATCAGAGGATGCCTTCTACAAATGGGAAAGCAGCAAAGACCCAGCGGAGCAGAACGGGAAAGGCGTAGCGCTCAAATCCGTCACCGCGTTCTTCACGTGGCTACGAGAAGCCGAAGAAGAGTCTGAGGATAATTAAAACTGAATATACTAAAAAAAAAAAAAAAAAAAGAAGGAAAAAAAAGGAGAGAAAAAAAAAAGAAAACAAAAACAATTTAAGTATTTTTTTTAAAAAAAGTTTCATGTCTTCGCCAATCACAGAAGTGCAGCAAGGCCAATTCTCGCGCAGAAATCCCCCCTTTTCCCCACATGTGCACGAGCGGGGAGAGGAGAGGAAGAAAAAAAAAAAAGTCACACACGCAAAGGCGATCATGGAGGACAGAAAAGTACTTGAAAATTCAAGTCCACGCAAACCTGAGGGGCAGGAGCACGAAACCAAAATACATCTTTATTATTTATAGAAAACTATTTTCTGTTTTAATTTTTTTTTTTTTTTTTTTTTTGGTCATTTTTAAACAAGGACTCATACTTTAAGAAGAACAAAATCTGTTTAGACAAAGCAAAAAAAAAAACAAAAAACGAGAACTATAATTTATTATTTGAAGAACTGCAAGCGTCAGTGTAATTTTTAAATTTGCAGTTTCTGTAAACAAATTGTATAATAGACAAAACAAAACAAAAAGCAGAGAAATAAATTTCCCTCCCTTTCAGATCCACCTCAAGTATTTTTGTTTGAAAACACAGTTACCCGAGTCATAACTTCTTAAAGCGGGGGGTGTTCAGGAATGAGATAGTAGATAAGGGAGAGGAACTTTCAGGACAAAAAAACAAACAAAACAGACCTCCAGATCTTCCTGCCTGCCTCTCGGGTTGCTTCCAAAATTTAAGACAAAAGAAGCAAAAAAGAGAGAGAGAGAGAGTAACCTCGGACCTAAGGAATTGCATATCAGAAAATGGTTGTGGACCAGACTGCCTGGAGAATAACTTGTTCGAAACAGCCCTACCCTGGACACAGAAGAAGGAAAAAAAAGGCCTAGCGATACTTTCAGAACCCTTAGAGCAACTTTTAAGGCTTGTAAATACATAGAACAAATATTTAAAAACAACGAAATGGACTCCATGCTATTCTTTTCACTTTCAAACTATACAGAACAAAATAAAGAGCAACCTTGCAAGTTTAAAAGCAGAGGAAGTAGCTTCTCTTTGGACGGCAGAGCAGAGTTGCTGCCCTCGGCCGCCTCTGCTGTGGAAAGACCCACGTTCCAGGTGGGGCACAAATGTCACTGTCCAGGTCGGGGGTGGGGGTGGGGGTGGGTGTGGGAAGAGAGTTGGACTCCCAGGCCTGAATAAAGAGGAGGTAGGTCGTCACTGACCGGGCAAGGTTTGCTTGCACCATTTTCGGTGTCTTTTTCTCGGTCATTGGGGAATTGGCAGGAACGAATAAGGCGGTGGCATTCAACACTGGAAGGAAGAGAGGTGGTATGGCCTAGAGACTAAGTTCATGCCTCACAGTGAGGCTGTGAGTTCGATCCTAGGTAGAGGCAGGTATTTCAATCACCGTTGAGAATATATGGGCTGAATATAACTGCACTGGTGACAGGAAGGGCATCCAGCCATTAAACACTAGTTGGCCAGGCTCCACCTAGCAAGCGATTATGGGGTTGTTAAAAGGATTCAATATTGAGAGGAGGAGGAGAGGGATGGCTGGAGGAATCTTCCTGGGCGTCCTTTACAAGCTGTGTATGTGTGTTGTGTTGTGCATGGGGCAGTTAGTGCTGAAGACGTGTTTTGAACTGGAGCAGAATTCGGCAACTTGTGGACTTCAACTCCCAGAATTCCTCAAGCTAATCATGCTGGCTGGGCAATTCTGGGAGTTGAAGTCCACAAAGTCTTAAAAAGTTGCCAAGTTTAGAGACTCCTCAACTGGAGGAGGTGGGGGGGGGGTCTGGTGGGGGCACCGGTGAGGCTTCCTAGTCGGGTAACTCGGCTCACGGAGCAGCCCACGATCGG